CTTCCCTCCTCCCTCGTCGTTGTCGTTGTCGGCGTCGCCGTCCTTCCTCCTTCTTCGTCGTTTCGCGTCGTTGTCGTCGTTGTCGCCGTCGTCCGTTCCTCCCTCCTCTCTCTCTGTCTCGTTTGCGCTCGTCGTCGTCCTTCGTCGTCGTCCGTCGGCGTCGGCGTCGTCCGCGTCGTCGTCGTCTGTCGACGTCGGCGGTGCGTCGTAGTCGGTGTGTCGGGCCGCCGTCGTCTGTCGTTGTCGCTGTCGTCGTCGGCGTCGTGTCGTGTCCAATGCCATGCGGTATCGCTACCGTCACGGCGTGTCTTGAAGAGGTCTTTGCGACCAAGTTTTTCCAGAGTGGGAGGGTGGGATGTTTGCACGAGCAGTCGAGAGGACAGCTTCAAGACGGTCAAAGTAGTTCCCAAACATAGACCCATCAAAAAAAACACCTGCGAGGGATCCAAACAACGAGCATCAATGGTTTGCAGGACTTCAGGCTGCCTGAGCGGATCTGGGCTGGAGGGGCCCGGAGGAAGCCCCAAGTCCCGAAAGCCATTTGTTTCTTGTGTTTGGGGACCCCCCAACAGTTTTTTATGTCTTCTGTTTTTTTTGGGAACACTCATAAGGTTCATGGGCCCGAGATGTTTTCTCATTGTTTTCGAGTGCATGGTTTTGGATGATATGGTTTATTAGTATTTTGATTGTGTGGGTTTCTTTTTGTTTTCGATTGTATGGATTTCTGTTTGTTTCTATTTGTATGGATTTCCTGTTGTTTCTGATTGCGTGGTTTTCTAATGGAATTGTTGCTGTTGTTGTTTGCACGCATGTCTTACTGTTATGATTGAGCGGGGGAGAAGAGCGATGAGGAGGAGAAGAGGGATGATGACGAGAATGAACATGAGGAGGAACAGGATGATGATGCTGGTGACGATGATGATGATGATGATGATGATGATGATGATGATGATGATGGCGATGGCGATGATGATGATGATGATGATGGCGATGATGATGATGCTGATGATGACGCTGATGCTGATGATGATGACGATGAGGATGATGATGATGATGATGATGATGATGATGATGATGATGATGATGAGATGATGATGATGATGATGATGATGATGATGATGATGATGATGATGATGATGATGATGATGATGATGATGCTGCTGCTGCTGCTGCTGATGCTGATGAGGTGAGGAGGATGAGAAACACCCCACGCCACATAGTCTTAAAGCTCACCCTTACAGCCCTGGGGACCCTAGGGGGGTACTCAGCGCGCGCGCGCCCAGGGGCCCTGGGGACCCTAAAGGGGGGTACTTCGCGTGCGCGCACAGGGGCCCCGGGGACCCTAGGGGGGGGGTACCTAACGCGCACGCTCGGGGGGCCCAAGAGGCCCGCCCGCGCGGCGGCCGAAAATATCGATCGGCACATGTATGTCCGCGGGCAGTGTGGCCCCGGTGTCGCGTGCGAGTGTGTTCGGGCGCTTCGCACGACCAAGCCAGTTGTAGCCGCCGCTGGACAAACGAAAGGCAAGCAGCATAAGATAATACCTCGCCTTAATAAGTGGTGGGGCGGCCTAACAGAGAAGTGGAAGAACGGCGCGCCCGCCAAGTGGGAGAACGGTTTCACGGCAAGTCGGGGTACTCTCGGGGAAAGCTAAGTGGTGGATAGAACGGCCCGGCTATCTTGGGGCTGTCTTGGGTGATCTCGGGGCCCTCTTGGGCCGTCATGGGCTCCTCTGGACGCCGTCCGGCACCCTCTTGGGGCAATCCTGAGCTACCTTGGGATCCTCTTGTGGCCCTCATGGGGCACGCTTGGGACTCTGTTGGGTGATCCGTGGCTTCTCCGAGGCCCTATTGGAGCCATCTATGAGCAAAAATGCGGGACCCCAAACAAAACTCACCCAAAGCCAAACGATAACAAAAGTGGCTGCTTCAGTGCTTCACTCTTGGGCAGCTGGCGGGTTCTCTTGGGACCAGCGCGTGGCCTCTTGGGGCCGTCTCGGGGTCATCTTGGGGCGTCTTAAAGCCTTTTTTCCCCCACCCACAGGGATCTCTAGAGGGCCCGCAGAGTTCCCAAGGCCACGGTCGCCGACGGTGCCACCATCCCTGCGGCTGCACGGTCCGAACCCAAAGGCCCTGCGACGGGACACGCAGAACGGCTGGGACAGCCACGAGCGAGAAAGACAGTGCGAGGCCATGCGGCCGAAACAAGGAGGAGGAGGAGGAGGAGGAGGAGGAGGAGGAGGAGGAGGAGGAGGAAAAGAGAGGGAAAAAGGTATCTGGGCCTCTTGGGCTGTCTTGGAATCGTTTGGGAGCCTTCCAAGGTCATCCTGTCAGGGGGGCAGTGGGGCCATCTTGGGGCTCGCGGAGTCTCAAGGGCGAGTCTGGGGCTCTCTTGGGGGACCCTTGGGCCCTCTTGGAACGATCTCGGGACCCCGTTGGAGCTCGTTCGGGCGTCTCTGGCTCCTCCGGGGCCCTCCAGGAGCCACGTTCAGTCAAAATGTGCGGAGGCCCATGTTAACTCAAGAGATGTGGAGCCCCGTCTTGTGCTCTCGGGCCGTCTAGGGCCAGTCTAGGGAACCTCTCGGGCCGTCTTCGCTTCCTGGCCTTTTCGTCCTCTTCCTCATCTTTCCCCTGCTGGCCCCTTCACAGGAGGAGGTCAGAGGCATGAAGGCAGGAGGGATGGGGGCGGGGGGAGGAGATCAAGCTAAGTGCGCTCGCGTCATATCTGACGTCCTACCTTTCCCTCCCATCCCTTACCATGGCGTAGGTCTCCTCTCTACTCGCACAATCGGATGTCGCAACATGGTATAGCAGTACATGGCATAGCATGGTGTTGAAGATCAACGCGTAGCATGACATAGCATGACGTGGCGACGCGCCAAATTGGGGGGAGAGCTTCTGCGGCCCAAACAATCAACGAATCGGCACCGAATGTGTAATCATTTCCAATGGCTTCTTCGGGAGGCATTTTCCAGACTTTGGAGCCTGTTTCGAAAAACCGAAAACCATGCCGTGGAATGGCAATGGAAATAACGACGCCAGCGTTCCAATGGGAACACGATTCGGGACGAGCGGAACGCGGAAATGAGGCCAGCGCTGCAGCGGAAACACGATTCGGAACGAGCGGTCACCCGAAAATGAGGCCAGCGCTTCCGCGAGAGCAGCATTTTGAAAAAGACAAGCGCGGAAACGTGGAAATGAGGACGCGTAGCCTGACATAGCATGGCGTGGCGATGCCCCAAAGTGGGGTGGGGTCTTCTGCGGCCCAAAAGCCAACGAATCGGCCCCAAATGTGTAATCACTTCCGATGCTCTTTTCGGTGGGGCATTTTCTAGATTTTGGGATCTACTTGGAAGGACCGAAAATCGTACCGTGGCATGACGCTTGAAATAATGACGCCACCGCTGCAGCCAGAGCACGACTCGGAACGAGCGGAAGTGCGGAAATGAGGCCAGTGCTGCAGCGGGAGCACGATGCGGAGCACGCGTAGCCTAACATAGCATGGCGTGGCGATGCCCCAAAGTGGGGGGGGTCGTCTGCGACCCAAGAGATCAACAAATCGACACCAGGTGTCTTCTCACTTACGATGGTTTGTTCGGGGAGCCTTTTCTAGATTTTGGAGCTTATTTGGAAGGACCGCAAGCCATGCCGTGGCATGGCGCTGGAAACAATGACGCCAGCGCTGCAGCGGGAGCACGATTCGGAACGAACGAAGCGCGGAAATGAGGCCAGCGCTGCAGCGGGAGCACGATTCGGAACGACCGTTGTCCCGAAAATGATGCCAGCGCCTCAGCGAGAGCAGAATTTTGAAAAAAAACCCAAGCGAAAACCCATTTCCCAGGAACCCTGTGGAAAACAAATGCGCGGAGGGGGGCCGGCCGTTTCCCGGACGTCACCAGGGGAGAGAGGAGAGTAGCATTCATATCATGAAATTGTGGAGGCAGGAAAGGAGCGAGGGGATATGGAAGAGGGTGCGTCCAGGAGGCAGGGGAGAGGGAGCAGGTTGGATGACGAGCAGAGTGGAGGATCGGCGGCGAGCGAGGGGGGGAAACGAGAAGGAGAAGGCCTTCTCAGAAGGTGACGGAACTTCTCAGAAGCCCCCGCGCCTTCTGACAAGTTTTGAGTGTCTTCGAGGAAGGCTTGTTCATCTTCTCAGAAGGCTGGAGGACGTCCGAGCCTTCTGAAGAGGCCTTCTCCTTCTCACTTCCCCCCCTCGCTCGCCGCCGAGAGGAAGGTGGGAAGAGTGGAGGGCTCCGACGGCCCCAGGGGGAGAGTTCGCACGGCGTCCCCCTGCACATCTCGGCACACCCGTGACGCGGGTCGTGGGATTTCGCAGCGTGCTCGACACATTCCGAGCCTTATCCCTGCCGCCCAATGAGTTGCCTGAACCGTTGATCGGCGAGGGCAGGGTTCGGATTTCGCCACAGAGCCCACGGCCTCAGCCAACCCCTTCACGAGGATCGTGCCCCGCAGGCAGCTCGGTCAGCGCCTCTGCGCGCTGGCTCCGCAGCAGCCCTCTACCCGCACGGCCCCGCGACGCACAGCTTATGAAAAAAGGCCGTGCCCTGCGCTGCACGCAGCTGCACACGGTGGGGCCATGCGCCTTTCGTTATATGCATACACACAGATGTTCACATATGTATATATATATATATATACACAGCAACACACACACACACACACGCACTCACACACACACACACATCACACCACACACGCACATACCCTACAATCGGACCCAAGCCAGCAAGACATCCCTCGAGAACGTGAGACCCTCCGCCGGCCAAAACGCACAGAAAGTGGCCCTACATCTATAGAGAAAGCCTGCGCATTCTAAGAAGCAGGGGTGCATCTAAGAAGCCTTCCCACCTCCCCCTACCCCCCTCTGCGTGTGGCTGGGGAAGAGCGAGAGAGGGAGAGAGAGGGAGAGAGAGAGGTCCACCCCTCATCCCCTCTCTCCCCCATCTGCCCCCAAAGGCTGGCCCCTCCCGTGGCCCGCTCCCGGTCAGACTGGCCCTTCGCGAGCGGGGTGTCGTCCTCGTACGCCAGCTGGACGGAGGAGGTGGAGGCCTCGCGTTGCCCAAATGAGGCTCTCCTTGTCCGCCTTGTCGTCATCCTCTCCCTATCATCCACCTCCTCCTCCTCCTCCTCCTCCTCCTCCTCCTCTTCCTCCTCCTCCTCATCATCTTCCTACTCCCCTCGTAGGCCCACAAGGGACCTTCGAAAAGTAAGTTCCGCCAGCCAGTTCCGCATTCCCCCTCCTCGGGGGGCACAAACATCGGTGTCTCTCTCTGAAGCTGCTTTTGCTATTTCCCGATATTTCCCGTGATGGTCGTTCTCCAAAAGGGGGTGGTGGGGGGGCGCCCGGGTAAAGGTAACGCTTGGGCAGGCGGGGCGCGTCGGGGCGATGGTGCGCTGCGATCGACACAGTCTGCGTGCGAACACCTGCATGTGGGGGGGGTCCAGCCGCTCTCACCTGCGCACGATCATCACCGTCACCCCCGGGGGGGGAGGCGGGGAGGGGAAGGGGGCGGGTGACGACCGTTGCGCGCCAGAGAAAAATTATAGCCGGAGTGCAGTATCCCCAAACAGGGTTTTTAGACCCACTGCGGTTTCCAAGGTCGATTGCGTGCCCGTCCAGTGCGGGCTGGCATGGCATGTTAAAACATGCCTCCTCCTCCTCCTCCTCCTCCTCCTCCTCCTCCTCCTCCTCCACCTCCTCTTCATCCCGAGCGGCATCCAGAGTTGCGAGGATGTCTCCAGCGTAACGGGTTGGACCACCTCGCGCGCGGCATCTCGGACCCCAGAGTTGCGACGATGTCTCGGGCGAAACGTGCTGCGAGGAAGTCTCAGGCGAAACGGCGGGACCACCTCGAGCGCGGCGTCTCAGAGCTCCGAGTTGCGGGGGCCTCCTGGTGCCTCCTGGGGCCTCCTGGGGACCTCCTGGGGCTTCCTCCTGGGCCTCCTGTGGCCTCCTGGACCCCACCTGGGGCTTCCTGAAGCCTCTGGGGCTCCCAGGGGGGGATATCTAACCTGAGGCCGGTTCGGGCCCCCCAAAATGGGAGGGCGGGGGGGGGGGGGGCACACGAGCAGGAAAAATCAACTTGGCACCGGATGTGTATTAACTTGACACGATCTGATAAAGGGGGCCTCCTGGGGCCTCCTGGGAGCCTCCTGGGAATCTCCTGCGGACCCCTGGGGCCTGTCCTGGGCGTCCTGCGGCCTCCTGAAGCTCTCTGGGGCCTCCTGGGGCCCCCGGGGTCCCAGGGGGGATATGAAACATGTGGTCTTCTGGGCCCCCAGGCTGGACCACCTCTTGCGCGGCATCTGGGACCTCAGAGTTGCGAGAATGTCTTCTGCGAAGCGGGCCGGACCACCTGGCGCACGGCATCTCAGAGCTCAGAGTTGCGAGGATGTCTCAGGCGAGATGGGCCGGACCACCTCGCGCAGGGCATCTCGGAGCCCAGAGTTGCGAGGGAGCTCAACGTGGATAGGGCTGGACGACCTCGCGGCGCATGCATTTTCGGACCCCAGAGTCGCTCAACGATGTCTCGGGCGAAACGTGCTGCGAGGAAGTCTCAGGCGAAACGGGCCAGACCACCTCGAGCGCGGCGTCTCAGAGCTCCGAGTTGCGGGGGCCTCCTGGGGCCTCGTGGGACCTCCTGGTGACCTCCTGGGCTTCCTCCTGGGCCTCCTGTGGCCTCCTGGACCCCACCTGGGGCTTCCTGAAGCCTCTTGGGGCTCCCAGGGGGGGATATCCAACATGTGGCCGTCGGGGCCCCCTAAAATGGGGGGGGGGGGGGCACAAGAGCAGGAAAAATCAACGAATCGACACCGGATGTGTATTAACTGGACACGTTCTGATAGGGGGCCTCCTGGGAGCCTCCTGGGAGCCTCCTGGGAATCTCCTGCGGACCCCTGGGGCCTGTCCTGGGCGTCCTGCGACCTCCTGAAGCTCTCTGGAGCCTCCTGGGGCTCCCAGGGTCCCAGGGGGGATATGTAACATGTGGTCTTCTGGGCCCCCAGGCTGGACCACCTCTTGCGCAGCATCTGAGAGCTCAGACTTGCGAGAATATCTTGTGCGAAACGAGCCGGACCACCTTGCGCACGGCATCTCAGAGCTCAGAGTTGCGAGGATGTCTCAGGCGAGATGGGCCAGACCACCTCGCGCAGGGCATCTCGGAGCCCAGAGTTGCGAGAAGAATGTCTTGTGGCGAAACGGGCAGGGACCAACTTCGCACGGCACCTTCAAGAGCTCAGAGTTGCTAAGGATGTCTCAGGCGGAGAAGGCGGTATCTCGGGCGAAACGTGCTGCGAGGAAAGTCTCAGGCGAAACGGCGGACCATCCTCGAGCGCGGCGTTCAGAGCTTCCGAGTTCGGGGGGCCTCCTGGGGCCTCTGGGGCCTCCTGCGTGACCTCCTGGGGCTTCCTCCTGGGCCTCCTGTGGCCTCCTGGACCCCACCTGGGGCTTCCTGAAGCCTCTTGGAGCTCCCAGGGGGGGATATCTAACATGTGGCCGTCTGGGCCCCCCCAAATGGGGGGGGGGCCACAAGAGCAGGAAAAATCAACGAATCGACACAGATTTGTATTAATTTGAATACGTTCTGAGAGGTGGGGCGCGGCCTCCTGAAGCTCTCTGGGGCCTCCTGGGGCTCCCAGGAGGGATATGTTACATGTGGTCTTCTGGGTCCCTAGGCTGGACCACCTCTTACGCGGCATCTGGGAGCTCAGAGTTGCGAGAGTGTCTTGTGCGAAACGGGCCGGACCACCTCGCGCGCGGCATCTCAGAGCTCAGTTGCAAGGAGTCTCCGGCGAGAGGGCCAATTGTGTGTTCTCGGGCGCGGAAAAGACCGCTGGTTGCTTCGAGGAAGTCTCAGGCGAAACGGGCCGGACCACCTCGAGCGCGGCGTCTCAGAGCTCCGAGTTGCGGGGGCCTCCTGGTGCCTCCTGGCGCCTCCTGGGGACCTCCTGGGGCTTCCTCCTGGGCCTCCTGTGGCCTCCTGAACTCCACCTGGGGTTTCCTGAAGCCTCTTGGGGCTCCCAGGGGGGATATCTAACCTGTGGCCGCTTGGGCTCCTCAAAATGAAGGGCGGGGCACAAGAGCAGGAAAAATCAATGAATCGGCACCGGATGTGTATTAACTTGACACGTTCTGATAGGGGGCCTCCTGGGGCCTCCTGGGAGCCTGCTGGGAATTTCCTGGGGACCCCTAGGGCCTGTCCTGGGCGTCCTGCGGCCTCCTGGAGCTCTCTTGGGTCTCAGGCGGGCTCCCAGGGTCCCAGGGAGGATATGTAACATGTGGTCTCCTGGGCCCCCAGGCTGGACCACCTCTTGCGCGGCATCTGGGAGCTCAGAGTTGCGAGAATGTCTTGTGCGAAACAGGCTGGACCACCTTGCGCACGGCATCTCAGAGCTCAGATTTGCGAGGATGTCTCAGGCGAGACGGGCCGGACCACCTCGCGCAGTGCATCTCAGAGCTCAGAAGTTCGAGGATGTCTCAGCCGAAACGGGCCGGACCACCTCTCGCGCGGCATCTCCGAGGTCAGAGTTTCGAGGATGTCTCAGGCGAAACGGGCCAGACCACCTCGCGCACGGCATCTCAGAGCTCAGAGTTTCGAGGATGTCTCAGGCGAAACGGCCCAGACCACCTCTCGCACGGCACCTCGGGGCGCAGAGTTTCGAGGATGTCTTAAGCGAAACGGCCTGGACCACCTCTCGCGCGGCGTGCCGGAGCGCAACTTTTCGAGGATGTCTCAGGCGAAACGGCCAATCCCGGCCAACTCAGAAACGAGAGTTGTGAGGATGTCTCAAGCGAAATGGCCTGGACCATCAAATTTTGGTGAGGATGTCTCTGCTCCGACTTCCCTCGGCCGGAGTTGGCTTCTATCACAACAGCACCCCGTTCAGCAAGCTGTTTGGGGAAAAAGCAATCCCTGGGATAAGATCGAAAGGTCCGCGGACGCACGTCTCGAAACAAACATTTTGACGTCGGATGTCTGGGGATGGCGGGAGGCAAGGCGCGCATGGCGGATGCTGAGGCGGCAAAATGACGGAGACGGCGACGGGGAGGCGGAGGCAGAGGCACAGCAGCGAAAGGCGAGAGGCGTGAGGAGGAAGGAGGGAAGAGGAGGCAGGCGGGAGGCAAGAGGAGGGAGGTGGGAGAAATGAGAGAGGTTTCAGGCAGAACGGGGCACACAATCTCGTGCGCAGCATCTCGAAGAACCCTGACGAAGAACCAGTCCCGGGGACGAGATCGAGAGGTCCGCGGGCGCACGTCTCGAAATAAAAATTGTGACGTCGGATGTCTGCGGAGGGCGGAAGGCAGGGCGCGCATGGCGGCATCTCGGAGCTTCGCATTGTGAGGATGGCTCGGGAGAAACGGGCTGGACCACCTCGCGTGCGGCATGTCGGAGCTCAGTATTGGAAGGATGCCCCAAGCGAAACGGGCCGTTCTACCTCTCGACTCCCGCTAAGCCCTCTCATGCAACTCCATTCCTCATCCCTCCTCCTTACCCCTCCAGTCCGCTCTCCGCTCTCCTCCTCCTCCTCCTCCGGCACGTTTTGAGACGTCGCTATAAGGTATATAGAAATCCTGTTTGGGGAACCCTGTCTCGGAGCCCAGAGTTGCGAGGATGTCCCAGGTCGCACCTGGTCGACGAGTAAGCTGTCGGGTCGGCACTGTGAGAGGCTCCACCGCCATGCTGTGAACTCAGAAGCAACTTTAAGAGGAAGCGGGGGAGGGCGCGGAAGCGGGGGGGCATGTCGTGATGGTTCCCTCGGGGATGATATCGAGAGGTACGCGGCGCACGTCTCAAAAGAAAAATCGTGACGTCGGATGTCTGGGGAGGGCGGAAGGCAGTGCGCGCATGACGGATGCTGAGGCGGCAGAAACGACGACGGCGGGGACGGGGAGGCGGAGGCAGAGGCGCAGCAGCGGGAGGCGGGAGGCGGGAGGAGGGAGGAGGGAAGAGGAACCAGGCGGGAAAAGGGAAGAGGGAGGCGGGAGAAGGAATGAGAGAGGTTGTGATTGGAGCTCCTGTGCTACGAAACGTCTCAGGCAGAATGGGCCAGACCATCTCGCGCGCAACATCTTCGAGCCTCGCATTGCGAGGATGGCTCAATCGAAACGGGCCGGACCACCTCGCGAGCGACATCTTGGAGCTCAGTATTGGAAGGATGTCTCAAACGAAACGGGCCAGACATTCTTTCGCACACGTTTTGACAAGTCCACATCGCACTCGCTTCCCGTTAGGTCCTCTCCTACAACTCCTTTCCTTCTCCCTCCTCCTCCTCCTCCTCCTCCTCCTCCCCCCCCTCCTCCTGCCTGCTCCCTCATGCACATCATCCGCCTCCTCCTTCTCCCTTCCATCTCCTTCTCCTTCTCCTCCTCCTCCTCCTCCTCCTCTTCCTCCTCCTCCTCGACCTCCTCTTCATCCCGAACGGCATCTCGGAGCCTAGAATTGCGAGGATGTCTCCAGCGTAACGGGCTGGACCACCTCGCGCGCGGCATCTCGGACCCCAGAGTTGCAACGATTTCTCGGGCAAACGTGCTGCGAGGAAGTCTCAGGCGAAACGGGCCGGACCACCTCGAGCGCGGCGTCTCAGAGCTCCGAGTTGCGGGGGCCTCCTGGTGCCTCCTGGGGCCTCCTGGGGACATCCTGGGGCTTCCTCCTGGGCCTCCTGTGGCCTCCTGAACTCCACCTGGGGGTTCCTGACGCCTCTTGGGGCTCCCAGGGTGGATATCAAACCTGTGGCCGTTTGGGCCTCTCCAAATGGAGGGGGGGGCACAGGAGCAGGAAGAATCAACGAATCGACACGGGATGTGTATTAGCTTCACACGTTCTGATAGGCGGCCTCCTGGGGCCTCCTGGGAGCCTCCTAGGAATCTCCTGGGGACCCCTGGGGCCTGTCCTGGGCGTCCTGCGGCCTCCTGAAGCTCTCTGGGGCCTCCCCCTCCTCCTGCCTGCTCCCTCATG